TGACCATCCCCCCTGGGGGGTGATTTCTCGCTTTCTGTCTCTATGTCTCTCTCTGTCTGTCTGGCGAGCGCACGCGCCCTACAGTGAAAATCTCTCAAAAAAAAAAAAAAGGACACATTTTATTTATTACCTCAGCTTTATCCCTATCTAGACCTCTTTACATAGCCGTAAGTCCAAGCACATAATATTCATAACAGTTAAAATCACTAGATAGAGACACATTATTAAATTGGTAAGTCTTCACTTTATTAACTACAACTCAAAGGACTTATCTAAGGACATATCCATCAAGTGATAAAGTCTGAATCCAAACCAGGCCTAGGTTCTTAACTGCTATGCATATTTTCTCTTTGCTACCGTTACTCAATTTTCTCCTGTTCATTTTTTCTATTCATTTTGGGCATTAAACTTTATGCTAATTTCCCTAATCCTTTAATTCTTGCACTTGCAACACCAAGGACATAAGTATCTTAAACATCTAAAGAAATTTATAAAGAAGAATTGAGTCCTACATGAAAGTAAACTCATACCTTTCATACTATGAACATAATCGACCATAAAAAACTTATGTTAGAAAACTGTTCATTCTTAGATTATGTAGTAATTAAAAACTGCCATTAGGGACCAGCAGTTAGCATAATGGCTATGTCGCTAGATTCCCATGTAGTTGACCACGATTCGCATCCCAGACCCGGTGGCTTAAAACTCATGCCAGGCGCTTGTGCGTGTGTGCCCAAGATCTCAAGAGGAGAATGGAGGAGAAGGGATTGTGGTGTGGCCATCCCCGCTGGGGGGTGATCTCTTGCTTTCTGTCTCTATGTCTCTGTCTGTCTGGCGAGCGCACGTGCCCTATAGCTAAAACCTCTCCAAAAAAAAAAAAAAAAGAAAAGAAATCACCCCCTCCCAAGGGTGATTTAAAAAAAAAAAATTCACATGTTGAAATTTGGTTAAGATGGTATTAACGTGCCAGGAGGTGGTGTGGTAGTTAAGGTGATGGACTCCCACACAGCAGACCGTGGTTAGAGTCCCAGACCTGGTGACTCGGTTTATCACTTTCCCTCTCTCTCTCTCTTTGATGAGCGCATGTGCCCTATAACAAGCTAAAATGTAAATAAAATTAATAATAAAAATAATAATAATGGTGTTAAAGGGGTTAAACCTCTGGAGTTTATCAGAATTAAAAAAAGGTTAGCACAACGGGGCTTACCTCCCACTGTTTGGGAGGTTTTTAAGGAGAGGGAGTAAAACCAGAGCAGAGACACAAGTTCTCAATATCTCACCACCTGACATCCTCAGTCACCTTGGGACTCTGCAAGGAGTCTCTACAAACATAAAGACCCTTATCAGATGTGGCCCCTTGTCCTTGGACTTCTAAATCCATGTGCTGAATAAACTTTTCTGTTTTTATAAACTACTTTGTCTGTGGTAATCGTTATTAAGCATCACAGAATAACTAAAACAAACGCTAAGCAGAAACTGCCATAACTACCATTAACTGACAGTAAAAACAAGTTTGATGAGTTAATCTGAACTCATATGTCTCCAAGAAGTGACACAGGCTTTCATCTCATTTTAAGAAACGAAAGCAAACTAAAAAAGAGAAATGGGGTGTGATGAGCACTTATGAGCAAATACAGAAAGACAATTTAAATAACAAAGAAGGAAGGTTTAAAAGCACCCCAGATCATATGCTCCAGGATTTCCATTTTAATACTCTGATTTGTAGTTCTACTCTTCAACTGAATTTTAAACTCTCAAATGATACAACTGAAGCACCAGGTTTGTGTTGAACCATGTAAGACACAGCTTTTTTAAAAAAAAAAAAAAAAACATAAATTATATTCAAATTATTTAGAATGATTCAAAGATAAGGCTCACAGAAAGTCTTTTATTTGTCAAGGCCCAATAAAATATTCTTGAAATTTTATGTTCCACACCATTACAGTAGAAATTACACCAGAACTACCCAAATTGCAATGCCTTTATTTTTAAAAGCACCATGTTTTTACTTACCAGTCCTAAAATAATTAATGACTGAATCTCTAGTAATTCCTGGAACCTTGCAGGTAGAAAACAGCATTCGAAACTGATTCATATCAAGAGGAGTATTTCCAGCTTTATCAACAGGTACTTTTTCTCTATTAAAAAAAAGTGTTTTGATCAAAAAGTATTAAAAACTAATTAACCAGTCACAACTATATATTCATCTCTAAATAAGTAAATTAAGCTTCTCAACAATTTGCCACCTGAGACTTTAGGTAAATCTGTTACTTATATCACGTAAGTGTCCTTTATTTTTTTTTCAATTTATTTATTTTACATTTGTTGTACATCAAGACAGCATACAAAATGAGTTTTCTCCATTCAGGATACACTGTATACTGGCTTAATCAAGGATATTACCATACATGTTATCATCAACAAATAATTTTCCATTTCTTGTTTCTCGTATACTTTGCTTTTTTTGTTTTTTTTCTCCTTGATTCCCTCCCTCTCACCCTCTGGCATTTCCCACCCTCCTCCCACACTGTCTCTGGTATCTATAGTTGCTTTCAATGCCTTTTTTGCCTCCACATTTTATTGCTTCATGAAAGATCTTAATTAAGCTAAATATTTCCAATAGCAAGCACAGCTGATATATACACATCCACGAACACATGTCTGATTTTAGGCATAAACCTCAGTGAGTAGAATGAACACACTATAAAGAAGCACCTAACTGAGGTGATATAGCTTACTGTGGTCATTAAACAGGTATTGTTTTATGTATTTTTTAATTGCAAGAAAAGCAGTTATAGTTTTAAGAAATCAGAATCCAAAAATGTTAAGAAAAATTTGCTTAAGATTTAAAGCCAAGGAAAAAAGATTCTGTTCAAATAGTAGGTAGATAAATCTATCAACAGCTCAAGAGAAGACAAAAATCCTTAAATCTGGAAATCTAAGTACAGAAGAAAATCAGTAATGCTTTAGTCAAAAGTCATGTAATTATTCTCTCTTCTGCTGAATTTGCAGTATAACTGGGGTCTGATCTTTCCGTTTAAATTCTGGAAGTTAACATTCAACATTAGTGTCCTTACTTTCTTAATAGCTGCCAGTAGGTCAAGGTATGCCAAAGAACTATACTTCCTCTTTCTAACTGAGTGCCTTCTTTTGGAGGCCAGTAGTGTTCAAAATGAGGGGCAGGACCTGCAAAGTTGATGTTCAGTTGTGATGGCATTCGAACATCCAGGTAGGCAACATTCAGCCACCACTCTTCCAGCTAAAAGAAACAAAAAACATAAGCCTAATGTTCTTCATAATACTTGAATATATAACTGCTGGCAAAAAAGGAAAAGAAAAAGAAAGCAAGCTATATAAATTGTCTTGTTTTTCAATATATAAAAGTATGTTTTCTTGTTTTAAGTCATCCTAGATATTTTTAAATGATATTGTGGTAATTTCTTTTTTGAATTGTAAAATCTTAAATATTATCTGGCTTAACTATATTACCAAAAACATGATACAAGAAAACACTGAAAAGATACCTTCAGAGAGATCATTATATTGAGGTCGGGAAACCCAAATAAAGTATTTAGGCATTTTTTCAGATTACCTGGGGTATAACAGGTTATTCAATAAATTCTCACCTAATTAATAACAATGAAAGCATTAATGATTTTTCCTTTTCTGAAAAAAAAACTGAAATACTAAATTAGAAATATAAAAACTTTTTGATAAGCTTAAAATTAATTTAGATTTTAGCTTTGCGCAGTGGCAGTATCGTAGCCAATGAGGTTTATCCGAGGCGCGATTATTGCTAATTGAAAATTAATTTAGATTTTTCACAGATAATGCTTTGTATGTGACTCTTTAACTCAATACATAACTCAATTTCATCCATAAAAAAGCATATCTTATCAAATTACCTGAAGTTCTTTTTGAAGAAATTAATGTTATATATTATTACTAACAACTTAGAAAAAGATATAAACAAAAAGGATACAGGCAGAACAATTTCTCTGCCCTCACTATACTTTTTAATTAAAATCACTTTAGGTTCAAAACTGAGAACAAGTAAATCTAGAATTGTTAAATTTTATTATTCCATCACAGATAGAATAAATTTTATTATTCCATCAATAGGTTGTGAAAAGATCAGGTTGTTTTTTATTTTTAAAACTGACAGTTACAATCCTTATTTCTAAACTAAGGCAATGCTTTTTAATTAAGAAAACTCATCCTCTGGTATATACTACAGAAGCAGAGTTGCGGAAATCCAAAATTCCTTGAGGAAAATTATTGAGACACTCAAAATTTATTACACCAGCTTCTCCCTCTATATATCTAAAACAGAATATTTATAACAGTTTTATGTTTCTTTGTCTCCTATGCACTGTTTCATTATGTCTATGCCACCTATGTAACACATCTGTTTCAGTGTTTTGCATTTTTTCAGCCTATCATCACCAAGACAAAATCTTTTTCTCAAGCATGATCTGTAGATCCCTGTCAGTACCAAATACAATGGCTATTAAAATGAGTTCTGTCCCCATCCCAGACAGAACTTACTGGTTCTAGGAAATCTGTATTTTAACAAGTTTCCGTGTAGTAACACAGAGTCCCATCCACAAATCTCCCTAAAACATTAACTCATTATTTTGGATAATGATTTCAACAATGAGTGCAAAGACTTACAGCAACAATTTAAAACTAAAACCTATACATATTTTAATTTTCCATTCTTTAAATATCAATTTTTGAATTATAACTATAAAAACAAAAATACCCAATTTCTTTTTCCTTTTGCCCTTTCAAGTAATTTCTGTTGTAATTTTTCTCCAATTCCATTTTGAAATTTCTGAACTATTTCTTCAGTTTTCTTATATTCTTCTTCATTTGCAAATGGCTTTACTATAAAGAAAAAATATACAATAAGGTATTTTGACTTCAAGGACCACCAACTCACCTCTATTATTATGTAAACAAATCTTAAAACTTTTCAATAAGCTTAAAACTAATTTAGATTTTGGATATGTAAGACACAATATTAAATATCACAGCAGTATAATAAATACAATAATTTTCAATGAAGAAGCCGAAAAGCAACAGTGGAAAATACTGTAAAAATTTAAATGGTAACTATTATATAATCTAATAACAATTTTCTGAAAAATTCTTTACAAATCATTCTAGACAACAGGGAGGTGGAACTATCATGCGATTATTAACCTGAGGGAAAGTAAATCCTATTTAGCTACAAGTACAAGAAGTGAGGGCCAGATGGTGGTTAAGGTGGCTGGATCCACATGAGAGACTGCATGGTTCGAGTTTTGGACCTGATGACTTGAGAAACATGCCAATTATATGAGCGCACATGCCCAATACTCCAAAAGGAAAGAGAAATGGAGAAGGGATTACAGTGTGACCATTCTTCATGAGGAGTGCTTTCTCTCTTTCTCTTTTTCTTTCTTCCTTTCTCTCTCTTTCTTCCTTTCTTTCTCTCTCCAGTAAGTACACATGCCCTCTGGCAAATTAACCCCTTTCTCCCAAAAAAGAGAAGTTAAAGAATCTTTCCATTAATGTGCAATTTAGAGCCTTGACCCTTGTGTATATCAACACAATATTTACATAAATGTAAATTCTACTCAGAGCACTTTAAGATGTCTCATGGATAATAGTGGTTTCCTTCCCCCACCCCCTAAAAAGGATACAGAGTCCCTATTTCATGAAAATCAAATGTTCTTAAAATTAAGCTATAAATTAGAAATCAAGAGACATTAGGTCTTCCTTTTATTTTTATCTCTTCAAAATCGTATCTAGCAAACTGCAAAGCTCAACTAAGTAGCTGTACTCAGAGAGAGTAAAAGTAAATATTCAAAAACAGTGACTAAATCAGTAAATTGCTTTTAGAAATAAAATTAGAATTTCCAGATGAACGTGAGAGAAAAAAAAAATTAAAACTGTACTTGAGGGCTTCCAGCTAAACATAATGAACTACAATAAATATACATGCTTATCTCAGTCCTTTTAGAACTCTGCTAAAATAACAGTGAAGTAATAAAAAAGGCAAAAGTTGACACGACAAAGAAAACGAAAGAAAGAGAAGGCATCAGGTAAGTTAAGCTAACATGTTATAAACAGAAAACATGCGGGAGGGCACCACGGTACAGTAGTAAAGCGCTGTGCACAGACAGCTGGACCCCCATGACTGACTGCAATTCAAATGTTGGCCCCAGTGACTTGAATAACATGCCAGGTACATGTGCATACATGTCCAGAATTCTGATGGATGCAGAAATGGAGGGAAGGGATTACAATGTGACTACATCCCAGTGGGGAGTTCTTTTTTCTCTCTTTCTCTCTCTAGTGAGTGCACATGTCCTCTGGCTATTAAAAAAGAAAAAAACAAAAACAGAACAAAACAAAAACAGGGCCAGCTGATGCCCTGGTGGTTAAGGCGGTTGGATGCCACATGGCCAACCACATGATTTGAGACCCTGACCTGGTGGCTTGAAAAACATGTTGTATACATACGCATGTGCCCCCAAGATCCCCAAAAGAAGAAATGGAGAAGAGAATGCAGCATGACCATGCTCCACAGGAATGTTGCCTCACTTACTCCTCTCTCTACCTAGTGCATGAGCCTTCTGGTAGAAAAAAGAAAAAAAAGAGACAGAAAACACTGGGGAAAAAATGGTCACTTGCTTTATAGAATAGAGAAAGTTAACATCTAAGGTTTGAGGAATGAAAAGTGCTAGGAGACAGGAGAACAGTTAGGTGCAAATTAAGAAGCAAGCCAACTCCTGCAATAAAATTCAAAAAAGTTCAAGAATTCAAGACACATGTACTTCCAAAGGTGGGGGAAAGTACAGCCAAAAAAGAGGCTTCCTTAACGGTCTTCAAAAGCAACAGTCAGACATCCACTGTATCCACACTTCCCCTTTTAGATCACCTCCTCTACTCTACAAAACCAGACAATTTCTTCCCAATGTTAGGAGAAACCAGGTTTACTTTCAGGACAAGAGCCAGACAAGGCAGAATAAATGGATCTCAATCCATACTGAAAAAGGGAGGTTACAATAAATGTACACCTGAACCATAAGTACTACTGACTTCTTCCAACTCAGCTCCCCAAACACTGGCCTATGCCCTGGAGGCAACAGATATAAAGATTCCTCTTTGGAGAAACTGATCATTCCATGAGAAGAGTAAGGGTATTTGGATGTGCCCTAATGATATCACTAAGTCTCTGTTCTATCACCCAACAATAAGGTCCACTATTCATCAAGTCCTACTCATGCATAGAATTCTTCCCACTCAGATTTTTCAGGGTCTCACTCTCCAATATGAATTAAGGATTAAGGATTGCCAGATATCTGAGGAAAGCCTCTCTTCTCACAGAGCAGTCATACAACAAAAACAAAACAAAACAAAAAACTAACAAAGGATTAGTGACATTGAGCAATAAATAGACCAAAAAAGATAAGGCACTAATAAAGAAGAAAAAAATATTTTAATTAAAAGCATATAGTCCAGGGCCAGCATGTGGCATGATGGTTAAGGCACTGGATCCCACATGGCCAACCACAGTTCAAATCCCAGACCGGACAGCTTGACAAAAATGTCAGGCACATGTGCATGCATGCTAAAAATCCTGAAAGGAGAACGGAGAAGAAGGGATTATGAAGTGGTCATTTCCCCAGGGAGTAGTTTCTCACTTTCTCTCCCTCTCTCCCTCTCTAGCAAGTACATACATCCTATAATTTAAAATCTAATGAACAAATTAAGAATGAAATTTTAAAACTTCTTGAAATAAATAATAATTAATATATTACACTCTGGAACCTTTGGGATACAATGAAGGCAGAATTAGGAGGGTCTTTTAGAACAATCAGTGCTCACATAAAAAAAATAGAAAGACTGAATAAACAACATAACAATGCATTGGAAAAGCAAGAATAAGCTAAACACAAAAGTAGTAGAAAGGAAATAAGAAAGATCAGAGGCAAAATAAGTGAAATAAAGAACAAAAGAAAATTTTTACTTTTTTTTAAATGATTTTTTTAAAGAATTATTTTATTTAACTTTATTTATTATTATCATTATTATTTTCCAGTTTGATCAGAGAGAGACAGAGAGAGAGAGAAGAAGTGAGAAAGCAAGCCACCAGGTCCGAGACTTGAACCGCGGTTGGCCATGTGTGAGTCCAGCGCCTTTAACCACCACGCCACTTGCCAGCCCCATAAGAAAAAATTTTACTTTTTTTTTTAAATGATTTTTTAAAAGAATTATTTTATTTAACTTTATTTATTATTATTATCATTATTAGAAAAGAAAATTTTTTAAAAAAATTTAAATCAATGAGATGAAAAGCTCTTTGAGAAAATAAACAAAATTAACAAACCTTTAGCTAGGATAATGAAGAAAAAGAGAAGACCCAAATAATATCAGAAATGAAAACAAGAACATTACAACAAATATCACAGAAATACAAAAGATCATTAGAGACTACTAGATGTGACTATATGCTAATAATATGGAAAACCTAGGGGGGAAAAAAGGACATATTTTCAGATATATAGAGCATACCTAAAATGAAACAGGAAGATACAGAATGCCTGAACAGTCTAATAACAAGAAACGACATTAAATCAGTAATAGTCTAACAAAGAAAAATCCAAATCCAGATGGTGTCACTAAATTCTACAAATTCTTTGAAAAAGAATTAACACCAATTCTCCGCAAAGCATTCAAAAAAATCTAAATGGAGGGAATCCTCTTGAATGTATTCTATGAAACTACTACCACCTTGATATCAAAAGTAAAGACAAAACAACAATTAAAAATTATAAACCAATATCCTAATGAATATAGATGCAAAAAATCTGAACAAAATACTAGCAAACCAAATCTAACAATACATTACAAAGATTATAAACCATGACCAAGTGAGATTTATCCCAAAAATACAAGGATGGTTCAATATACACAAAACGATAAATGCAACATATCAGAATAATAGAAGGAAAGACAAAAATCCTATGATCAAAACAACTGATGCAGAAAGGACATCTGATAAAATACCATATCCTTTCACGATTAAGACTCTCAATAAACAGGTATAGAGGGTAGATTTCTTAATATAATAAAGGCCATATATGACAAACCTACAGCTAACATCATACTCAAAACTAGAACAAGAGAAGGATGTCTACTTTCTCTACTCTTGCTCAATACAGAACTGGAAGTCCTAGTCAGTATACTCAAATGAAAGTAAAATAAAAGGCATGGAAATTATAAAGGATGAAATTAAATTGTCCCTATTTGCAGAAGATATGATTACATACACAGAATTCACCAAAAAACTCTTAGAGGTGATAAACCAATTCAGCAAATTTGCACAATACAAAATCAACACATGAAAATCTATAGCATTTTAGTATTTTTTTTTAATCACACTGTGCACAAGTGGATGCATGCCCAAAATCCCAGGAAGAGAATGGAGGAGAAGAGATCACATTGTGATTTTTCACTCTCCCTCTCACTGACTCTCCCTGGCAACTACATGCACAGCGAGAAATCACACTGTGATCTCTTCTCCTCCATTCTCTTCCTGGGATTTTGGGCATGCATCCACTTGTGCACAGTGTGATTCTCAAGCTACCAGTTCCAGGACTTGAACTGTCATCAGCCATGTGGGAATCCATTGCCTTAAGCACTACATCACCTATTGGCTCCAGTGTTTTTGTACTTTAACAATGACTGGAGGTAGAAATGAAGAAATAATTCCATTTGCAATAGTCACAAAAAAATAAAATATTTGGGAATTAATCTAACCAAAGAAGTAAAAGATCTCTACCATGAAAACTATTTAAAAAATAAAATAAAGAAACTGCAGAAGACATACACAAAAAAATAGAAAGATATCCTGTTGTTTATGGAGAAGAATCAACATAGTTAATATGTCAAAATCACAATGAGATATCATCTAGCCCCAGTCAAAATAACTATGATGAATACAAAGAAACAAAACAAAACAAAACAAAACAAAGAATAACAAGTGCTGACAAGGTTGTGGAGAAAAAGGGAACCCTTGTGCATCGAAGTTAAGAATGTAAATTAGTGGGACCAGCAGTTAGTGTAATGGCTATGTTGCTGGACTTCCAACTGCGGTTTGAGTCCTGGACCCAGTGGCTTCAATTCATACCAGGATTGTGTGCGTGTGTCCCCCAAGATCTGAGAGAAGAATGGAAGAGAAGGGATCGGGGCATGGCTACCCTCCTGGGGGGTGATTTCTCACTTTCTGTCTCTCTGTCTTTCTGGCAAGCGCATGCACCCTATAGCAAAAACTTCTGGGGGATTATAAAAAGAACATAAATTAGTACAGCCATTGTGTGGAGGTTCTTCAATAATCTAAAAATAGAATTACCACATGACCAAATAATCCCACTACTGGGTATATATAACAAGGACAGTAAACACGAAGAGATCTGTGTATCCATGTTTATTGTAGGATTACTCACAACAGTTAAGTCATGGAATCAGCCTAAATGCCTGAGAACAGATGTATGACTGGGCAAATACAGTACATATACATAATGGAATACTATTCAGCCATAAAGACCAACAAATCCTGGGCCATCTGGTGGCATGGTGGTTAAGGAGGCCGGATCCTACATTACCAGTGGGGTTCGAGTTCCAGACCATGTGGCTTGAAAATCATACTAGGCATGTATGCATACATGCCCAAAATCCTACAAGAGAATGGAGAAGGGATTGTGGTATGGTCAATCCCCCCCTGGGGAGGGGGTGCTTTTTTCCTTCCTTCCTCTTTGTAAGTATACATGTCCTATAAGAAAAACTTAAAAGAACAACCAATCCTGCCATTTGACATGAAGCAGACAAATCTAGAAACTATTGGATAGTTGCACAGAAAAACATAGAAAAATATATCATGATTTCTCTAATGATCCAATATAATGCTTAATGAAATAAGCCAAACCATGAATAATGAATACTATCCATATATGTCCCTACCTAACATATACTGAATGTCTGCACTCTATGACAAAAACTGAAAGATTCAAAAAAAAAACAAAACTTGCATAATGATATAGACCAGAAACTGCTTGCAAGGGGTAAGGGTTGTTGAGGGTTCATTAGAAAAATTTTAATAGACACAAGGATGCACATAACTAAGGGGAAGAGGCTATGGAATGGTATACAACAGCAGAGTAAAAAAATATGGACAATTTAATACATATTTTTAAAAAACTAGTACAACATTTATCAAAATGTATATAACATAATGTTAAGTTCAAAGTAGAAGATGAATTTGTGTTTATCCTAGATTATTATACACTGTACACAAGCTTTTAAAAACCATATTGTACCCCACAAAGATAAACATAAAATACATATAAACCAGAAACCATAACTAAAGAAAAAAAATGGAGAATGGAATGATGGATATCTGAATCTAGGAAGGGGAGGACAGAGGGAATAGGGAGATTTTGATCAAAAGGCACAAATTTGCAGCTAGATAAGAAGAATGAGTTCTTGAGTGGTAGGGTAACTATATTTAATAGCAATTTATTATATATCATAAAGTTAGAAGAAAGGCTTCAAATGTTCACAACACAAAATAATAATAAATGTTTGAAATGATGGACATATATATGGTCCTGATTTGATCATTACATTGAAGGCACATACTGAAAAATCATCCTGTACCACCATAAATTATGTTACTATGTAATAACGTCAATTAAACACTTCTTAAAAAGAATGTTACTTTATATATGGAAATAAATAACGCAAGAAATAAATGAAAATTTGAAAATCCTTCCCTAAGAGTGTGGAATCTGTGTGGTTGGGGAGAAAATCAAGGAGATGAGGCCGAGAACTACACTGTCCGTTGTAACCCTATTGACACTATTAATACTACCTAGCTTCTCAAACTATGGAAAATTTATCAGAAGAAAGAAAGAAATGTTTTGAATAGTTTAAGGATACTTTAATTAATATGAGTCTAAAAGAAGAAGCAATTATTCATTCGTCAACTTCTAATAGTATTATTTTCTAAGTTGCTAACAACATTAACGTATACTAAAAATTTATGAACATACCTGATTCAAGATATTTTTTTAATGTTTCTCCAAGTGAAGGAACAGGCAGTGATGGAAGAAAATCCTGATACTGAAATGTTCGTTCTTCAGTTGATTTAGCCAACTGATTTTCCATGATCTAACCACAATAAGAAAACTAAAGAGAAATGAAACATACTTCACAACTTTAATCTCATAAATATTCTTATACGTTCTAAGTCCAAATCATCAAATCAGAATTTAGGGACCACAGTATATCCAGAACTTGGTCCCAGTTCTTATAGGATTCATAAACTTGTCAAAGAAAATAAACCTAGCCAAAGGGGGTGGGGAGAAGTACAGACTGAAAATGCTAAAATTCAAAGAGTAATTACTGAGACCAGTATAGTTAATTAATTAATTATCATTCATGAACATCTACCATTTGCCTAGTACCGCCATATGTTATAGAAAACATATATTAACCTTTCTAAACTTCTTGTTATTTCTGATTTGTGGTATTCTCTGCCATTTTACATATGAGGGGACTTCAAAAGTTTATGGAAAGTACCTATTATAAGAAAATTAAGCATGGATTTTAAAATTATTTTACACCAAAATGAACTTGTACTAACTTGTTATATCATGTCTGAACAGGATCTAGTTTGAGACTATTTGAAAAAAGCCCCTATCAGAGCAGCATAAATTCTGCTAAAATTGAAGCAAGAACAAACATCAAATTTAGGGTAAAGCTTAAATGGAAGAAAGGTGAAATTGCTGACACTTCATGAGAAGTTTATGTAGCCAAAGCCCCAAAGAAATCAGGAGTTTACAAACGGATAGCTCATTTTTAAAAAGCGACAAGATGGGGCCAGCTCCATGGACTGGTAGTTAAGGGAACTGGATCCCACATGGACTACCAAGAAGTTCAAGTCCCACACCTGGCAGCTTGAAAAATATGCTAGGTACATGCGCATGCATGCCTCTAATCCTCCCAGGGTGGAGAAAAGAGGAAGAGACTGTGGTCTGATCATACCCCACGAGGGGGCGGGGGGTGCTTTTTCTGAGAGCTCTGTCTCTTTCTGGTGAGCACATGCATCCTTTGGCAAATTAAAAATAAATAAGGACAAGAAGATGTTGGAGATGACATATACAGCAGCAGACCATACACATCAATTTGTCTGTGAGGAAAAAAAATTCCTTTTGTTCATGCCCTAACTGAACAGGACAATTCACAGTAAAAATAGCAGCCAACACCACGGACATCTCAGTTGGTTCCGTTTACACACTTAAGACTGAAAAATTAAAGTGGAATTAACTTTCTGCTCGATAGGTACTAAGACTGTTGCAATCAGATCAGCTATACAGAAGAGCATAACTTTCTTTTATTTTATGGAGAGATTTTCTTTCTTTTTTTTTTTTTTTGTGTGTGTCTGTGCTATAGGGCGCGTGTGCTCGCCAGACAGAGAGAGACAGAGAGACAGAAAGCGAGAAATCACCCCCCAGGGGGGATGGCCACGCCGCAATCCCTTCTCCTCCATTCTCCTCTCAGGATCTTGGGCACGCATGCACACACGACAGGGTGGAGTTAAAGCCACTGCACCCAGGACTCAAGCCGCAGTCGACTACATGGGAGTCCAGCGACATAGCCATTACGCTAACTGCTGGTCCCAGAAGAGCAGAACTTTCAATGGAAATTTTAAACAAGATGGATCAAGATCCCAAAGCATTTCTTTAAAGAACTGTAACAGACAAAACATGGTTTTATGACTTTCATTTTGAAAAAGCATGATTAAAGCAATGGCTATCAAGAGGTGGAAGTTATTCAGCCCAAGCAAGGTGGACTAGTCAAGAGCAAAGGTCATGGCGACAGTTTTTTGTAATGACCAAGGCATTCTCACTTGTTGGACTTTCTGGATGAAGACAATAATATCTGTTCATTTTGGGTTTTTGTTTGTTTGTTTTCATGAGAGAGATTTTTGCTACAGAGTGCATGTACTAGCCAGAGGGACAGAGAGAAATAGAGAGACAGAAAGAGAGAAATTACCCCTCTGGGGGGATGGCCATGGCACAACCCCTTCTCCTCCATTCTCCTCTCAGGATTTTGGACACACGCACAAGCAGCCAGTGTGTTTCAAGCCACCGGGTCTGAGACTCAAACTGCGGTCAGCCATATAGGAAGGAGTCCTACAATGTAACCATTACACCATCTGCTGCCCCGATAATATCTGCTAATTAAGAAACTATTTTGAGGGAACCAGTAGTTAGCGTAATGGCTATGTTGCTGGGCTCTCACAGAGTCAACCGCGGTTCGTGTCCAGGACCCGGTGGCTTAAAACTCATGCCGGGCGCGTGTGCGTGCATGCCCAAGATCCCGAGAGGAGAAGGGATTGCGGCGTGAACATCCCCCCTGGGCGGTGATTTCTCGCTTTCTGTCTCTCTGTCTCTCTCTGTCTGTCTGGCGAGCGCATGCGCCCTATAGCGAAAATCTCTCAAAAAAAAAAAAAAATAAAGAAACTATTTTGACAAAGTTAGCTGGAACTTTTGTAGAAATACACCCAGAAAACTTTCACCAGAATCCTTCACCGCAACAGTGCTCCCACTCATTCCACTCATCAAGTGAGAGTTATTTTGCAAGAATTTCAATGGGAAATCATTAGTTAAGAGTGTGAACTTGACTGCCTAAGAAATACCTAGTAAGCTGAGAAAGTATTGCTGAGGGTATAACTGTGGGGGTGTTTCTGGAAGAGATTAACATGTGAGTCTGAGTATACAAGATATGGAAATCAGCCCTCACTGTGGTAGGCACAATCAACAGGAGGCCCAGGAAGAATAAATATGGAAGACAAATAAATGAGTCTTTTTTGAGAGAGCAAGATAAACTTCTGTTGCCTTGGACATCAGAGCTCAAAGACCCATCTGCCTTTGGATTCTAGGATTCACACCAGCAGCCCCTTGGGTTTTCAGGCTTTTAATCTCTGACTGAGTTACATCATGGGTTTCCTGGTTTCTGAGCTCTTCCAACTTAGACTGAGCCACACTACCAGAATCCCCCAGGGTGCCCACTTCGGAGATGGCACAGGAAAGACTTCTCAGCCGCCAAAACAGTGTAAGCTGATTCCTCCCATAAATTCCCTCTTATATATCTAAACACATCCTTGGTTCTGTCTTTCTCAAAAAAACAGATTAATACAGGCATCTACCTTACAATCCTTACTTGGCTTCTTCTGATTTCTTTGTTTTCTAATCTTTGAAAATCTTAAAGGGCACCCAGTTTTCTTTAACCAATAATGTAAAAAAGACCATAACAAAATTAAGTTATCAGGACTCTTAGTTCTTTAGAGATGGGCTAAACGGCTGGTATCACTACTCATAAGAGTTATCTTGAACTTACTAGAGCTTATGTTGAGAAATTAAGGTTTATTTTTTATTTCTTTTCATTCCATTTTTCCATGAACTTTTTTAAGGTTCCTCATATGATAAACCAAAACTCAGACAGATTTAGTAATTTGCCTAAGGTCAAATCTATGACTCAAACCCAGATCTCTTAAGACTATAACCTTTCCCCTACACAAAGGCAACAGTAAGGATATAAAGAAACTTGCAGTAAGTCTTGATGGGTAAGTAGGAGTTGATATGTACAAAAGAACTTTTGGCTGAGATAACTTTTAAAAACAAAGTAGGAAGAGGTATGGAATAGTTGCCCAACTACAAAGTTACAACATATTATTGAATATACAATCATATGAGAAGCTTTGGACCAGCAGATAGTGTCACGGTTACATCGCTGGACTCCCACGCAATTGGTTGTGGTTCAAGAACCAGAGTAGGTAGCTTAAACCAAACTAGTCACATGTGTGTGCACACCCGAAATCCTGAGAGGAGAATGAAGGAGAAGCAATTGTGGCATGGCCATCCCCCCTGAAGGGTGATTTCTCACTTTCTGTTTCTCTGTCTCTCTGGTGAGCACACATACCCGATACCAAAAATCAAGAATATACAATCATCTGAGAAGATCCTGTAACCTAATTGTGCAGATGGCACTGGGTCTACACAATATGATTTCAAGTATCCCAAAGAAATCTTGAACACTCACATTCATTCATTTTCATCTAAATCAAACTAACTCAGCACATGAATAATGTATATAAGTATACAAGAGCTATATGAGAAAATGAGATTTCTCGAAGAGGTCTTTATAGATTAAATTATGTATTAAAATAGCAACTGAAAAATCAAGTAAGGTCAATAATAAATAAGCATTTGCTGTCTTTTCAACTAACAGCAAATTTCAAACACAATATTCCAATCATAGAGGTTTACAGAATTAAACACTATCAAAACCAAGGGCATGGCACAAACTGTTCAGCCAATATCTGCTTCCGTCTTCTTTCTTAACAGCATTCTGAGTTTTAGCTGGACATATAGTCACTCAACTGTATCTTTTCAACTCTCCCTTGGAGCTCAATGTGGCCTTCTAACTTACATATCACCAACAACTTATGCTCTAAAAACATACATAGGTTCTCCCTGCACTTTCCCCTCCTCACTGCCTACCAGGTAAAGCCAACTGGAATATCTTGGATCCATTTAAGCAAGTCATGTATTGAGGTCAGAATCACTCTACTGGCCCTAAACTCCTATCTGGAAGAGTGTGTGATGTGTGTGTATACACACACATACATATTGGGTTGTCAAAAAAGTCATGATACATTTTTTTCATAGCATTATGTATCGTGACTTTCCTGATGATCAAATATATACATATACACATATAAAAACTTTTTTTTTTGGAGAGGTTTTTGCTATAGGGCGCGTGCGCTCGCCAGACCGACAGAGACAGACAGAGAGATAAAGCAGGAAATCATCCCCCAGGGGGGATGGCCACGCTGCAATCCCTTCTCCTCCATTCTCTTCTCGGGATCTTGGGCACGCACGCACACGCGCCCGGCGTGAGTTTAAGCCACCGGGTCCGGGACTCAAACCGTAGTCTACTACGTGGGAGTCCAGCGACATAGCCATTACGCTAATTGCTGGTCCCCATATAAAAACTTTTACTCATGTCATTGTACATTGGGCTTTCTTTGTTAGGGAGAAAAGCTTAGCCTATATTAGTAACATAACAAGATAACTAAAAATGAGGTATAACAATGACCTCACAGTTCCTTGGCTTCTTCCTATCTAACGACTTTGGCTGTATTCCATCAATATGGAATCAGACCTAGGGAATGCACATTTAGGTCCAAATATAGACTTGGCAACTTTCTAGTGATGTGCCCCTAACTTTAACTGAATTTCTTTATTTTTAGACTATGTAAAGTCATCAGATTTTTCTCTAAAATCCTACAAAAGCATGTTCTAAAAGAATCTAGCTTGAAATAATCACGTTAGGGTATGAAAAAATTCTATGAATGGCCCCCAAAATGCCAATCTCTCTAATCTCTAGAATGAGCTCATTATTCTTGTGATTATGTTATCTTCTACAGAACTAACCTTAAAATTGGGATATTATCCATATGGACATAATCTAATCACCTGAGTTCTTAAGAGCAGCATTTTCTATGGCAGGTGATAGAACCCAACCCATATTTAAAGCATAAGAAGGATTTGTGGGGGTCAGCAGATGGCATAGTGGTTACATTGCTGGATTGCCACATGGCCCATAGTGGTTCGAGTCTAGACCCAGTAGCTTGAAAAAAATCAAACCAGGAGCGGACGCATGCGTGCCCAAGATCCTGGGAAGAGAACGGAGAAGGGACTGTGGTGTGGCCACCCCTCAGAGGATGATTTGTCACTTTTCCTCTCACTGTCTCTTTCTCTCTCTCTGTCTCTCTCTCTCTCTTTCTCTTTCTCTGTGAATGTACACACCCTAAGGCAAAAATCTCTTTAAAAATAAAAAAAAGAAGAAAGATTTGTAGTGCTGTTACTGGCTTTGAAGATTCAGGTGGCCTTAAGGAACTGACAGAGGGCCTGGCTCACAGTAAAGAAATGAGAAACCTCAACCTACATGTGCATGGGAAATGATTTCTGTGGAAATCTGAATGAGTATGGAAGTGGGTTGTCCCCCTGCCCACCTGGGAAAAAAATAATAATAGTAACAGAAACCTACAGATAACCTTAATTTCCACTTCGTGAAATTCTAAGCAGAGTACCCAGCTAAATATATCCAGACTTCATATCTACAGAAGGTGTGAGATAATAAATCTGTGTTTTAACTTTTAAATTTGTGGGAATTTGTTATGACAACAATGGATAACTAATACAGATATACAAAGAAATCAAACTATTCTTTGTAAATCTCTCTGACATTTAACGAACTTTAGGAAACTGGAAGCAAGTATAATATTCTCATATTGACTACAGTGATTAATTCATCCACAGGTAGACATTTAAAAGATGAATCATTAGATGCTTTTTTTTTTTTGGTGGGGGGAGAGGTTTTTCTCAACAAAAAGACAGAGAGAGAACAGAGAGACAGAAAGCGAGAACTCACCCCCCAGGGAGGATGGCCACACCACAATCCCCTCTCTTCCATTCTCCTCTAGGGATCCTGGATGCGCGTGCGTGCGCACACACACACACACACAAGCCTGGCGTGAGCTTAAGCCACTGGGTCTGGGACTCGAACCATGGTTGGCTACATGGGAGTCCAGGGACATAGCCATTACGCCAACTGCTGGTCCCAAATCATCGAATTCTTACTTGAATAACTCAAGAATTCCTACTTGTGAATTCTCAACCACAAACATTAAGTTAGTAATATAATTCCAACAGAATTAAGAAAACGATGATGCTGGATTTGGGGGTCAGCAGGTGATATGGTGGTTAAGGTGCTGGACTCTCATATGGCCAATCGCGGTTCAAGTCCTGGACCTGGCAACTTGCTTTCTCTCTTTCTTTCTGTCTCTCTCTGCTTCCTGAGCATACATGTCCTAGAGCAAATTTTTAAAACTCTAATAATAATAAAATTGAATGATTCTTTATAAATAATAAGAAAGAAAATGATGACTCTGGATTTAATTAGCTTGTACATCCTGGAGGGCACTAAGACATTTAGTCACGCAAAGTGGAAAAGAAAACCAGGAACTTAACTAAGTAAAGAAATAAGACTCTCACGTACCAGTACACCAAGAAGACCGGCTGCTTAGGACCGCTAGGGGTCTGTGGGCAACAACTCTCTTTCGCAATCACCGCGATCACCGGGATGTGAATTAGACTGGTGACTGGGAAGAAGAACAACAAGCTTAACAAAAACTTGAGAAACAGGAGTTAACAAAAGCTGATGAAAGAAGGTGGAAGTCAGACCACCTAAGCGCTGGAAGCCCTCAAGTCTCAAATTTAAAACACATGCAAAGCTAGAGGGCAGGGTTAAATTACCATGGGACTAAGTAGGTTTCAGACAACGGCACCTTCCAGTACAGGTCCTCCGGACACAAGGTACCTCCCGGATGTCCGATGGCTGTGCGGGCAACGCGCTGCAGGGCAACAGCGAGTGGGAAACTCCTCCCGCCAGGCGGAGGACAGCGCTGCACCCTCGCGAAGTCCAAGTGAGAGCTACCCAGCCGGGCACCTCGACAAACCAGCCTAGCCGCCCAACCTCAAGGCACCTCTCAGACCCCGGCAGGAAAGACACCACACCTCCGCCACATCCCGGCGCCTCTGCGGTTCTACACGATTGAACTCTGTCCTGCCTAAACTTCCCCTGCCCACCAGCTGGAGAGGAAGGGAGGGAGGGAGTGCGGCCTCCGCCGCCTGCTAATACTCACCCACCCGCCTCGCTTCTTCGGAAGCCGCCGTCAGCCCTTTAGCCCTTGCGCATCAGGCCTCAAAGCAGGAATTCGACGGAAAGCCGCAAGGGTCCCGCCCTGTCCTCGTCGGAGAACGCGATTGGACGAAAAGCCGCGGTGGTCCCGCCCCGTGCTTGCACGGACTCTAGGGGCCTGCGCTGTGGTGGAATTAGCCCTCCCTCCCGCCGGGGCCTTGGCCCGGGCTCGATTCTGGGCTGTGGGCATAGGAAAGGCTTGCCAGGCGCCGGCCAGGGCCCTGGACTCTGCAGGGCTCCAGCTTCCTGGGCGCTGATGGACGAACTCGGCGTTCAAATCTGTTACTTGGCAGGGGCCGCAGCCGGGCCATGCTCGGCTCACACAGGTACCCGGTCCTTTGAGAGGGATGCAGGTACAGATGGCCCAGCCCAGTTTACCCTATTCTTGCTTGACTCTGCGCCGGGTTTCCCTTCTTCTCGCGCCAGATCTCCGCCGGTCTTTCCAGTGCGACGCTATTCGCAGCTTCGAAGCAAGAACTGATACCAACGCCCGTGTAAAGGCGAGTTACTGTCCACTCCGTGTCTTGGCAAGAGAACAGTGAGCACGCAGATCCCTGCTTGAGGCTGATGTCGGCCCAGCTCTGATATGCTGCAGTCCATGCCAGCCCCGCCAACCTGCCCTTCTGGGGGTCTCTGTGCTACCTACCCAAGGACTTTGAAGGCAGCAGGGAGGCTCACCCTATGACCTGTCACTGATCTGATTACTTCTATCTCTCTGAGAAATAAAACTTTTTTTCCCCAGACTTAATTTGCTTTACTTTTCTTGTATTAAAACCCTATGTCGACAGCGGTTGGAGTCCCGGATCCGGTGGCTTAAAAATCACACTGGGTGCGTGTGCATGCATGCCCAAGATCCCGAGAGGAGGGTGGAGGAGAAGGGATTGCGGGTCACCATTCCCTCTGGGGGATGATTTCTCGCTTTCTGTCCCTATGTCTGTCTGGCGAGTGCACGTGCCCTATAGCGAAAACCTCTCCAAAAAAAAAAAAAAGAATTTTAAGTTTGAATATCATCTGAGAAAACGGCCACTCATGGAATTATGGGTGATCTGCCTGCTTATGCTGTATATTGCTTAGTGACATTCAAACCTGGCCTTTTAAAAATTTTAAGAATATTTTTAAATTTTTAGTTATGTTTTTATAATTAGTAATATGAATGTACCACTAGCAGTATAAAAATTTCCAGCCGACCAGTCAACATTCAGTGATTTGAGTAAAATGTTAGATTTTGAGTGTGACTTGTAATTTGCTACTTTTCTAGGATAGTACATTTATTTTGATTTTTTAGGTTTTTGCCATAGGATGAGCGAAATCATCAGAGAGAGAGAGAGAGAGAGAGAGAGAGAAAGAGAAATTACCATTCATCTCTAAGAATTTGGGGCACACATGTACACACACCCAGTGTGATTTTTCAAGCCCCCGATCCAGGACTCAAACCATAGTTAGCCATGTAGTAGTCCCACACTGTAACCACTATGTCACCTGCTGGCCCCATGCAGTGAATATATTATCTTTTAAAGTATGTACTATGTATTACTTCATGCCTCAAATTCCTGGTAATGTACTTTGCCTATTTAAATTGTATGTACATTTTTTGGAAATACATTAAAGCTGTTACAGAGACCAACTGATGGTAGAATGGTTACATTGCTGGACTCCCAGGTGGTCAACTGGTCAACCGCAGTTGAGTCCCAGACTAGTAGGTTAAAAACTCGCACATGTGGTTGGGGAAGGAAAGTGGCAGGTGGTGTGGTGGCTAAGGGTATTGGACTCCCACTATGGCTGACTGCAGTTCAAGTCCTGGACTTGGCGGCTTGCCTTCTCATTTTCCCACTCCCTCTCACTCTGTCCTTCTCTGGTCAAATTTTAAAAAAGAATAAATAAACTTAAATAAAATAACTCTTTTTTAAAAAAGAGTTTTTAACTTTATTTATTCTTATTACCATTATTATTTTCCAATTTGATCAGAGAGACACACAGAGAGAGAGAGGAAGTGAGAAAGCAAGCCACCAGGTCTGGGACTTGAACCGTGGTTGGCCACATGGAGTCCAGTGCCTTTTACCACCATGCCACTTGCTGGCCCCAAATAAAATAACCCTTTAAAACAAACAAACAAATTCATGTGTGCATGCTCAAGATCCTGAGTGACAAATGGAGGTGAAGAAATTAAGGTGTGGCCCTCCTCCCTGGGGGGTGATTTCTTGCTTTCTGTCTCTCTGAAGCGCACACATGCCCTATAGCAAAAATCTCTACCAAAAAAAAAAAAAAATCTGTTACATTATTTAAAATACTTCTGGATATATAACCATCATTCTGCTTTTCTCTTCTAACCCTAAGTTATCAGAAAGGATACTATAAACCCAACAGAGGGAACTTCTGGGTTTATACGGAAGAGAGGAAGTATACTATTGGCATTTAGTAGGTAGGGATCAGGCATGCTGCTAAACATCCTACGTTGTACCTTTCCCAACAAAAGCTTAAAAAAAAAAAATCTGGCCCAAAATGTCAACAGTATTAAATTGAGAAACCCTGATCTAAGTAAATATCTGAGAAGAATGAGTTTCAATCATGCTGGTTGGCCTTTGGCTAGAAGTGATTTGTAGTTCTGCCAAAGGCCAGGATCAATGCTGAAATTGGCTCTTTTTTGTTTTATTTAATTTTTAAATTTTGGAGGGCATTTAAGAAAGAGAGAGAAAGTAGCCTCCGTGGCATACTGCAATCCCTTCTCTATTTTTCCACACAGTGCTCTTCAAGCCACTGGAGTCACGATTTGAAATGTGCAGTTGGTCATGTGGGATCCAGTTTCCTTAACCACTAGGCCACAGGGTTGGGCCTTAAAATCTGTTCTAATGTATTTGACCAATATCTTTTTGGACTAACAATTGCATTTGTTTCCTGCCTATGAAAAACTTAATAATTTAGGGAGCTGGGTTTCTTTACTTTCCCTGTTCTCTTTGATTACTTACATGTTCCTAATAGAACAACAAGACAGACTTCTATCATTTGTTTTAAAATATCAGTAATGGAGCCAACCTGTGGCCTGGTGGTTAAGATCGCTGGATCCCACATGGCCAACTGCACATTCGAGTCCTGGACCTGGTGACTTGAGAAACATACTGGGCATGTGTGCATGTATGCTTAAAATCTCAAAAGGAGGGAAAGAGGAAAAGGGATTACAGAGTGACCATGCCCCATGGGAGATGCTTTCTCACTTTCCCTTTCTCTCTCTCTCTCTCTCTCTGGCAAGTGCACATACCCTCTGGCAAATAAAAACAAATAAATCCATATATACAAACCAATAATGTGAAAGTTAGTTCGCATAAAGAAGTCACTAACAAATACCTTGTTCCTGTTGAATACCTAATATTAGCAGGAAACAACAGGATTTTGCAAAGTATCGCAATCCCTTCTTCATTCTCCTCTCGGGATTTTGGGCATGCACACACACATGCCGGCATGAGCTTTAAGTTGCCAGGACCAAGACTTGAACTGTGGTCAGTTTCATGGGAGTCCAGGGACGTAATCATTATGCCATCTGCTGGTCCCCTGGTGTGTCTTCTTTTTAAAACCCGAGTACTATGGGATGTTGTATAGGCCATAAATACAAGTACAACAGCATTTAAAAACATGACTGAGGGGGCGGCAGATGGTGTGGTTGCGGGTGCTGGGCTCCCAAATGGCCGACCATTGTTTGAAACCTGGACCTGGTGGCTTGCTTTCACTTTCCCTCCCTCCCCACCCCCTTCCTCTGGTCAAATAAAAATAAATAAATAAAGCTAAATAAAATAATCCTTAAAAGATAAAAATACGACTGAGATTATGAGCTGTAATAGGGAAAATTCAGAATAGGTGGGCCACGAAGGTGGTAAGTAGGGAGAAAGATGGGCTTTTTCTGAAAGTGGTAACAGTGAGAGTGTTGGCAGATGGGTGAGGACAGTAAGGACTCCAGCAGAGGTGAGTAAGTATGTAGAGACTAAGCGATGGATAGATGGCACTAATTGATGGGAATCTTGGATCCTAGAGAGAAAACACCAAAGTTTGAAGCTGGAAATACTATGTTCCTCATTTTAAAAGCGAGAGATGGGGATGCCAAGGTATTTAAATTTTCCTCCATTGTTAATGGGGTCTAGAATGATTTCCTACCTCTCAGCTCTTTCTCATGGTATACCTCTCCTGGATATGCCATGTTGCCTCTCAAGCTTGCTATTGGAAGGTGAAAGCTATTGCATGTGTATAATACAGAAAGTGTTTTAGAAAGTGTAGCAGAGGGAGAACCACAGAATCAATCAGTATTTTGATTTTCAAGAAAAAATGTATTACTGAAGAGAAAAAGATTCTGCTGCCTATGAAGAACTCCCAGTAACCTACAATATCATTGTTGTAATTCTGGCCTTGCATAAGGCAAGATAATAGGGCAGCCATGGCCTGTGGGTTAAGAGAACGAAGTCCCACTTGGCTGACCCCACAATTTGAGGGCTAGGACTTAAAAAAGGGTGTGTGCATCCATGCCTCAAATTCCGACAGGATGGAGAAATGGAAGAGTAGGGACTGTGGTGTGAACTTGCCCCATGGGGGGAGGGGTTCTCTCTCTCTCTCTCTCTGTCACTGTCTCTCTGGGCTCTCTGATAAACATGTGCTCCCTCTGGCAAATTTGTTAAAATAGGAAAGGAATGCCAACAGTACTAAAGTCCCTGTTTGTCAGAATCTCCATTTCACTGGGAAGTGCTGTGAATATTCTGCCTGTGTCCTTTGAACTTTGTCTCAGTTAACTTGGGAGATAACTGGTCTCATTCCCTTGATTACTTTATATTCACAAACCAGACAAACTAAATATTAAAAATATGGATTTACACAAAGATAAAATAATTTATTTTTTGAGCAACCACTTCATTTAACAGATCCTGTTAAGTAGCAATCTTCCCAGTGTATGAAACACGAGCTTCCATGCTATTACTACTTTTCAGAAACATGAAAGACACTGAAAGATTCCTTTTTGCACATTTTGGAGAATGAGTTTTATGAATGAGTTGAAATATTATATATTTAATGCTAATATTTATTACTTGGTACAAAATGTTTTTGAGAAAGCATTCCATTTGATCAGACACTGAAAGAGGAGACTGAGAAACTCCCAGTGAGCTTTTCCAGGTGTCCAAAGCAGGGTTCATTGTGCCAGTGTCTCCCCCTGGGCAGCAATCCCATGGAAAAGTGTAGTCATGGTGACTATTTAATTTACAACTTACCACCGGAAACTTGGAGGATTCTTTAGAAAACAAAGTGAATTCCATTATCTTGGCTCTACCGTCCAGTCTCCCACACACAAATTCCTGTAAAACCTTTACAGTTTCTACCCTTTGGTTTCTTCTCACATTTCCACCAGCAACCCAGGCTGACTGCACAGCCTGTTTCCTCACAGATCTTTTCTACTGCTTGTTCTTTCTGCAATCACTATGCCCCATTCTCGGCTGCAATTTAATCCTTTGTTCCTGTGCTTCTGAAGTTGGCTAACTGGGGCAGTTACTGGGACTGGGCAACTGAATGTGCTTGCTAACACTGGCTACCGAATGCCCTTTTCTTGTCGGCATTCTCAGTGTACTGTGGACTCTGTGTGGGAGTGCATAGGTTTGCTTCTTTTTCTTTTTGTCTTATAGAAGCTGCTGTGTGATTAGCTAATGAGGTAAAAGGCTAGGCTCCTTGCTTGGTAATATGTTAAATGCAGCTACAAATCGATGAGTCAGTTCTGAAATTTCCTTTTTTTTTTTTTTTTGTAGTTTTTGCTATAGGTCACATGAGAGAGAGACCAAGAGGACAAATGAGAAATCACCGCCCTGGGACCAGCAGTTAGCGTAATGGCTACGTCGCTGGACTCCCACGTAGCTGACCGCAGTTCGCGTCCCAGACCCGGTGGCTTAAACTCACGCCAGGCACTTGTGCATGCGTGCCCAAGATCCCGAGAGGAGAATGGAGAAGAAGGGATTGCAGCGTGGCCATCCCCCCTGGGGGGTGACTTCTCGCTTTCTATCTCTCTGTCTCTCTCTGTCTGTCTGGCTAGCGCACACGCCCTATAGCAAAACCCTCTCTCCCCCCAAAAAAAGAAAAAAAATAAAAGAAATCACCGCCCTCATCCCCAGAGAAGACTACACCACATTGGGCATAGGTGCCTGGCTTATTTTTCCAAACTGTCAGGTCCAGGACTTGAACTGCACAATTGGCCATGTGGGATCCAGTCACCTTATCCTCCACACCATGTGTTAGCCCATTATTACAAATATTTTATATATAGAATTATACATTATGTAGTAATCTGTGACTGGCTTCCTTTACATAGCATAATGATTTATAGGTTCGTCTATGTTGTTGCATATATCGGTACTTCATTTCTTTTTTGTTGCCAAATAATATTCCATTATATGGATATATCTTATTTTGTTTAACCATTTCATCAGTTTATGGACATTTGGGTTATTTTTTATTTTTGGCTATTATGAACATTCGAGTATAAGATTTTTGTAAATATATTATTTGTATTGCATTTAACAATTTGTTTAGGTTTACCTATATGTTTTCCAGCTGTGTACTCTTTATTGCATCCTGAACCTCAGGCTGTGGAGCACATCTTAGTCCACATCACCATGGTAAGGTCTCACCTTCTTTCTGTTGTTTGTTTTTTTCCAAAATTTATTTTATTTCTTTGAGAGAGAGTGAAAAGGAGAGTGAGAGAGAGATAGAAACCCATGGAAAGTCTCATAATACTGTAATCCTTTTCCCCAGCCTTCCATCCACGTAGTATCATGGGTATACATGTTCCCAGCATGCTTCAGGTTGAGTAGGAATCTAAGGATCTGAATCCTATATGATCATCTGATTCCAGCATTGCAGAGCAGTGGGCTACCTCCCATGCCACCATTGCTGGGCTGCATCATCATTCTTTCTTTTTAGATTTTTGCTATAGGGCCTATGTTCTCACCAGAGAGACAAAGACAGAGGGAAAGTGAGAAATCATTCCCGGGCGAAAGGGATAACCACACTGCAGTCTCTTCTCTTCCATTCCGCTCTCAGGATTTGGGGCACACATACACACATAACAAGCATGATTTTCAAGCTGCCAGGTTTAGGACCTGAACTGCACAGTAGGTCATATGGGATCCAGTGCCTTAACTTCAATGCCACCTGCTGGCCCCCTTATTTTCATTCTTAAAACATATTTTCACAAGGTATGGAATTCTTGGTTGGCCATTATTTTCTTTTGGTATTATTCTACCACATTTTAGTTTCCAGTTACACAGATGATAAATCAGTTATAACTCCTTTGAGAAATTAATCTATATACCAATTTTTTCTTTTGGCTTTTAAATGATCTATATATAAATATATACATATATGTATATGTATCTTTATCCACATTGAGATACATACATTATTGAGTAAATAACACAAATTTATCAGTTATTATTTTGTCAGTGTTACTTCTTTCCATTCTCTGTCTCCTCTGCTTCTGGGACTTCAATTAAACCTATATTATACCTTTTTTTTGTCTATTCTCCTTTCTCTTCATCTATCTTTTGTATTTTCTACTATTTTCTGAGTCACATTCCGGATCATTTCTTCTGCTCTTTTCCAGTTCACTAATTCTCTTAGTGTCGTATACATTGTTCATATCTACTGAATTTTTAGTTGAAATTATCATAGTTATCATTTTTGAAATATTTTTTGTTCAATTTTCACTTATTTAAGACTTTTTAAATGCTTTTCCTTTTCCTATAGATAGGTTTAGTTTTTTTAAACAGTATAAACATTGTTTTTCTATTAATGCCTATATCTAAAGTCGTTCTTTTATTTTGCCTTTTTCCCTTCATGATGAATTACTTCTTTCTTTACATGTTTTGTTTTGTTGTATTGTGTTGTGTTGTTTATGAGTCACTCACTGACCTGGAAAGTTATCTGAAGGAAAAACTGGAGGTCTTGGACAGGTGCATTCCTCGATCCAGAAGTTACTCGCTTTGTGCTGATTGCCTCAGATCTTTCTAGGCTCAACACCACTCTAAACTAAATTCACGACTTTAAGTTTTTGGATCACCTAATTGATTAAAATTGTGGCTACCAATCTATGCAAGAGCTGGTTAAATTATGTATTTATTTTTTCCTGAAGGTACAGATTTTTGAAGTTCCAGTTTGATGTAAGGAGAATATCCTTAGACTCTGCGCCTTGGGTAGGATCAGGCTTTGCTTTCTCTTTATCTTGCTGTATGATGCTTCAGAATCAAAGCTCAAATTCTGTGGCTAGGAATTTATGTTATTAAGGAAACATTGTCTACTTTTAGAAAAGTTCACACAATAATTTTAGTTTAAAACAGGAGTGTGTTGATCTGAATAGCCTACCCTGTCATTACTAGAATGGACTATAATGTTTAGTTTTTCATTACAATAAAAAACAAACATAGTTCAGGTTCTCAAATTCTCAAGTAAGAGAAATTTTGGAAATTTGACTTCATCGCAGACTGCTATGGTTTGAATACGTCACCCAGAAATTCTTGTGTTGGGATTTAATTGTACTGTCCACATTATAAAGGTAGTAAGTAAAAGCTAAATTCCTTCATGGCGTCCCAAAGTAAGGCCTACTAGGGGATGACTAGTTCATGGTGATTGCATCACAGAGGCAACAGTCTCATGAATAGGTTAATGATGTCTCCAGAGATCCAATTAGTTCTAGGTTTCATGAGAAGGGATTAATTCTCATGAGAGTTGATTATTATGAAAGAGAGATCAGTCAGACCCTCTCTCCATGCCTGCCATCTTCTGTGCTTCTGCTGACCATATTGTTGACCTAGGACTGGATTTTCCAGCCCCCAGAATCATGAGTTTGTAAATAATCTTCTCTCTTATTAAGAAAAGCACACATGGGCTAGCCTTGTAGCCCAGTGGTTAAGGGAGCTGGATCCCACATGGCTGACTGCATTTTGAGTCTTGGTCCTCATGGCTTAAGGAACATGACAGGGACAAGTGTGTGCATGCCCGGTGTCCTGATAAAGAAATGGAGGAGAGGGAGTTGTGCTGTGAGTGTGCTCTATTGTGGAGTCCTTTTTCCTTCTTGCCCTCTGTCTGTCTCTGTGATGGAAGAAGTTCTGGAACTGAGTAGAAGACAAAGAGGAGCAGTCCAGGACAAACCTAGATACTGGTGGGAGCATGGAAGAATTCTTTTTAAATAAACTGGAGCTCTTTCTTTAGATATTGATTAAGTGGCCTTCTTTAGAGATTGAGTAACCGTAATGGTGATAGAGATATGAACACTGGCGGCCATTTTTATGAGATTTCAGAAGAAAATGAGAGAAACAAGATGATTTAAAGATGGAATTAGTAATGAAGAGAGGCAGAATCTGGGCAAGGGGGAGAGGGAGAGGAAAATTTCCAGCCTGGCATGTGGCAAAGAATAAAACAATGTGTTTGGCAGAGAGAAGTGTGGCAGAAACAGTGGTTGCTAGATGACTGCTGCTGATAGAAGGGATCTAGCTGAAAATGAGAGAAAAGCACTGAGGACATTGCCCTTCTCAGCACAAGCTTAGAGGCCTGGGAGTACAAAATGGTTTCCAGGAAAAGGCTTGGGGCAGGCATGTAGTCCTTCATCGCCTGAGTTCCCCGCATCTCAGTACAGTGCCTGGTTGTTCTAGCAGTCCTGGGTGTAGCTGCTGATCTGGATAGTACAGTCCGTAGATCTTAGTGGCAGCAACAGTAAGTGCTGCATCCATGTGGGACTCCACCTGGTGCTAACTCTGCAGGAGACCAGAACTCAAAGCTGTGAGGTGTGGCAGCCTCTTAGAATTCAAAGAATACAGCAGAATGCTCAGCAGTTGAGTCAGAGATCTGCTACAAGATTGGAGCCATTACAGAGAGTTTCCGTTAGAACTAAGTAATGTGGAAACAGGGGTCAGAGCAGATAGCACCTGCCAGGAGGGCTATGCCTAATGGAGCTACTGTCCTGGAGCCCCTAAAGCTGTGGAGCTATCAGTATGCAACATTAGCCTAGAAGACTCCAGCTGGAAAGAGCCGAAGCATGGACTGAACCTAGCAAGGCCGGGGGAACAAGGTTGACTGATGCTCTGAGGACTCTACCCCCTCCGTGGGTCCAGGATGCAGCACATTGAGTTTGTTTGTCAGTGGAAATGACCAAACTCTATAAAAATGTTTTAAAGGATTCAAAGCAAAATTAAGAGTGACCATGGACTGTGAAGGCTAAGTTGGTAGCCTTGAGAAAGTATTTGAGAGGGTTTAGAAATAGCAGTTCTTTTATTTAGTTCTGAGATACAAGCAAAACTGTAAATCCATATATGCAGTTGTCATATTAGCCTGGTCCCAAAAAAGATGGTGCATCTTCAAGTGGGAACTCACAAGTTATAGGTGGGTTTAGAAAGTTTTAGGTCAGTAACTGGTTAAGAGCACAAGTCTGTCTCAAAAAAGACTCAGAGTTAGTAGAAAAGAATGTCTGAGTTTAATTTTAACAGAAATAAGGAGACTTGGCTATCTGTTCACATGATACTGTGCTCAAGTTAGAATGGAGGGAGTATCTCACAATCACTGAACCAAAGCAGTTTACTTTAGCAAGATTAACTGCTTATTCATTGGCATCAGCTTCCTAGACATCGAAGGAAAAATGTAGAACAAAGCCAAAGCAGTCAGTTTCAATTCTCAGTTGCCCTTGTTGGTCAAAGATCATGCCATGGAATGCACATATAGGCCAGTAATCAAAGAAATTTCCCACGGCGGTAAGAAGGCTCATTCCTAGAGTTGGCCTTTTAGTCTTCTGGCATTGGTTATGATCATCTTGGTGATTCTGGATATTTAGAGGGAGGACATAGTTGACCTGACTTAAAATTCAGTTATTTCTAGGAAAAGAAAAGGTCAATCCTCAAGATTTGGTTTGGAAAACATTCTAGATCAAATTTATCTTAAGAGCTACCATGATCTGGGCTTGTTTTTTATTGTTGTTGTTGTTGTTTTGTTTTCATTATCAGAGGGTACAAATGCTAGCCAAAGGGACAGAAAGAGAGAGTTAAGGGAGAGGAAGAAAGCATTCTTTAGTAAGGCATGATCACGACAGAATCCCTTCTCCAGTTCCCCATCCTGTCATGATTTGGGGCATGCATGCGTAAGTATCTGTCATATTTTTTCAAGTTGCCAGGGCTGGGATTCCAACTGTGTTTGGCCATGTGGGATCCAGCTCCCTTAACCATTAGATTATAGGACTAGTCTTGATCTGGGTTTGTGATTATGTTTTTCCTCTTCCCATATCTAGCATAGCATTTATGGGCAATATATAATGAAAATACAACAACAGGTATTTTAACACAACAAAGACTGTGCTTCAGAGACTAATAGGATCAGAAGGAATTAAGCAACCCAATCAACTGTAAAATCCTGTAGGTGCATCGTCATATTTAATCAGACTTACGATATGTTTACCTTCCTTATCAATAGTTATCTGAACTTTGTGATAATTCTCATTTGATGATTGTAGGACTTATATCAATTAGAAATCTAACAAATTTAAATTTTTCTTGACAATTAATTGTTAATATATATAGCATACTGAGAAGAGTATAAATCAGTTTTAAGAAACATCTGATATTCAATGTCTTAACAG